AAAATGTCTTCATGGAACATGATCTTTACTTAATATACTAATGATTTTTGGCATAAAAGAAATCTATAATTTTGACCCATACAATGTATTGTTGGCTATTGCTACAAATATACCTGGTTTTGTGCTCCAGGGTCACATATGTGCTCACCCTCCGGCCATCCAAGATTAGGATGAGTTTGTTTCTTCATCAGTGCCCGTATTCACAAAAGGGTTATTTCACCCCAAAATGAAAATTCTGTCATTAATTACTCACCCTCATGTCGTTCCAAACCCGTAAGACCTTCCTGCTCTGTTAATTAAAAGGCTGTTTAGATGCATATCCACTAATTATGTGAAGAACACAGGCTGACAATTAGCTGAACATGTACTTAATTAGTGGCACTTATCTGCATTTTAAAATATTTGAATGTGGCAACATTTTTATTTTTAAAACTTTATTTGAATATGGCGACATAATATTGCACTCTACAATATTCCTATGAATGAATCTCTGACAGAGACTATCAGCCAATCACTGTGTGCATAGTTAGTAAGCTTGATGACATCATGCATAGCAATGAGCTCAGCCCCGCCCCCTTACTCTGAGCTTAAGACTTCTCTCTATTCCTTAGTACAAGTATGCAACTGAAATGTTCCCAAGTCCAGAAACGTAGTAAGGACATCGTTAAAACAGTCCACGTGACATAAAGTGGCTCAACTTCAATTTTGCGAAGCTATGAGAATACTTTTTGTACGCAAAGAAAATATCACAATGCATACGCACGCTTTAACCTAAGCGTAAACAACGCCGATTACGTTCTGGGGTACTCTCCAAAATGGCAGAAGACGTAACTCGGGGGAGAAGAATTGTTGAATAAAGTCGTTATTTTTGTTTTCATTGCACTCTACAATATTCCTATGAATGAATCTCTGACAGAGACTATCAGCCAATCACTGTGTGCATAGTTAGTAAGCTTGATGACATCATGCATAGCAATGAGCTCAGCCCCGCCCCCTTACTCTGAGCTTAAGACTTCTCTCTATTCCTTAGTACAAGTTTGCAGCTTTGTGAATAGGTTTAAAGAGAAAACTCTTTTTTACTGCTATTTAGGAGAACTCTTAGTGGCAAGATAAAATGTTTTGTGAATATGGGTCCTGATTTGTAGAAATGCAGCATTGCATCAGTGTCTCACTGCAAGTGAATGGGTGCCGTCAGAATGAGAGTCCAAACAGCTGATAAAAACATCACAATAATCCACAAGTAATCCACAGCACTCCAGTCCATCAGTTAACATCTGGAGAAGACAAAAGCTGAAACTAATCCAGCATTAAGACGTTTCTAACTAAAACACCATAGAGTCCATAATCCATAACGCATGATTCACTTTTTCACTGGAGGAAGCGTTATTATGGACTCTATGGTGTTTTATTTAAAAACATCCTGATGGATTTGTTTCTTACAAACACACAGCTTCCGGCATCTCAAGACGTTATCTGATGGACTGGAGTGGTTTGGATTGCTTATGATGTTTTTACATTACTGGCAAAACATTTATTTTTTCATTAATTGGTCAATTTTGAGTTTTTGGGCTGCTTGGCTTTTCATAACATGTTGATTTGGACTAGTGGAACAAAAACCTCCAAAACACACATTTAAGTGTTTATTTTATTGCACTTCTATTATCTATTTGCGTATGTGGATTCCAATCTCAATCCATATCTTTAAAGAGCTTTTTCTCTCACAAACACCCAGTTTCTGATTTATATTCTGGAAATGTATGCAAATGAGTGCCTGTTTAATAAGGTAATGCACGGTTTGCATATTAAGTTTCATAAAACTTACAATACAAACAATGTTTGCAATTCTTCAGCTGGGGAAGCATGGTGGTGTTAATTAGTTATGTGTCTTTGGTTTGAACATCACTGGATATCAATTGGTGACCAACACAAGACCAAAACTGTTTATTGCACAAAAGCAGCATGATCTGCTTTGAGCGTCATATCAAACCTGCAGCTTAAATACTGAGATTAAATATTGTTCAGTTAAAATGACACTGTGTTTGAAGTGATGAACAGTCGATTAACTCGTGTGTAATGTGCTCCCAGGTGTTTTCTCACCTGTCGGTGAAGGAGAGATGTCTGGGCGCGTCTCTGGTCTGTAAATACTGGCGCGATCTCTGCTTAGACTTCCAGTTCTGGAAACAGATCGATCTCAGCGGCCTCCAGCAGGTTTGTGCTCATTCCAAATCATCTCTAAAACTACTTTAGTTATAGAATTATTTTGTGCATGACTGTTAGGGCTGCAAGATCAAGATGATCAAAAGAAAAGCAAAATCGTGCACCAACCATGTTCCCAAACTGCTAATGAAAGAAGCACTTATCCAAAAAACAAACAACGTTTCATGGGCTTCCTGCAGTTTTCAGTCAAAATAATAGTTCAGTGGTTTAATATTGGAAAAAGAAATATTAGAATGGTGATTTTACAGTTGTAAAATAAAATTATTATTTGTATTAGTATTATATTTCTTGGATACTCAATTAGTTTGTATTTTACACTGAAATGTATTACAATAGTATTTTTTTTGTTTATTTAGATATTATTATAAGAAATAATTATAATTTTGGCCAAATTGTGCAGCCCTACAAACAAGTATAGCAAACCTGGATTAAAAAATAAAAATAAATAAATACATTTTTTATCAGAAAAATCACAATTCGATTACCCCCCCCCCCCACACCCACACCC